ATATATATATATATCTTAAAATATTTATTTTACTTTGAATTTTAGAGTGATAAAAGAAAATTTTATTTATTTATTTTACATGGACCAAAGACAATGTTTATAAATTCTAAAAAGATAAAAAAAATATTTTTTTACTAGAATTAAAATAAAAATTCACTTATCTTACATTAATTAAAAATATGTTTAAGCCATAATTTTTTTTACTTATTTAATTATAATGGAGTTGAGAAATGGATCAAGAGATTTGTATCTCGAAGTATCAGACCCAACTAATTTAATAGTTAAAATCAAAGGGTGATGTGATATGAAACATTTATCCCAAATCTTCCAAGGGAGCCCAAAATAAAAAATCAAGTTGAATATAACAGAATCACTATCAGGAAGCTAGAACTGAAATTCATCCATGATCTAATGAAAAAAAGAAAAGAAAAAAGATGACGATCCTCATTTATTAATAATATAAAAATTACTTGCTATGCTACAATTTAAACTATTGGGGGTAATCTAGAGCCAAGGAAGTTGAATACGTTGCCAAAGACTACATACAAAAACCTATCATTTGAATAATTATGTTTACGATAATCATATATAAATCTTGCACATTTAATATTAAACAGGGTAATTGTTTGAGATAAGTAAGGTTGGATGCAACAACTTAAAATATGTAGATCTTATCCTAAAAAGAGTCATGGAACTTTGGACTCATGAAGAAGTAGCATACGTTGACCACGACACATGATTCGATTTGAAAGGGAAAATCCAGCATGGGTTGGGCCTGTGGAGTGTGTTGGGCACTGGGCTTCTCATAAAGCTTTGTCAAGCCCAACGTAAGGATTGGATCAGGTTACCAATTGGGCAGCTCATAAATGTAGCTTTTACTCAAGTAGGAACTGAATCCCATTATCTAGGAATAAACACATGATAGTTATCACTACACTAATCTTGATAATAATGAAAATTTTAAAAATTCTAATAGTAAACAAGTTTTTTAGTATGTGGACTTAGAATAAGGCATTGATTTCCTTATGCTTGAGTCTGTTCTAAAATGATCTAATGAAGGATGAGTAAGAGTTAGGGATGATAATCAAACATGGCATAAGAGAGTTTTGCCTAGTACAAGAAAAATTGAATTGGACCCCAAACCTGGTCAAATTAAATTTTCCCTATTAAAATTCGTGTGAAATGGAACAAGTAGTTTCAGACATGATCTATTTATTTTATTTTATTTTTTTATTTAATGTCTAGTAATAGTTCTCGAAGATAAGACACTGATGATTACAACTTAGTGACTTATATCGCAAGAGACCTAAATGTCAAAGGGATAATAAATTAATAATACTTAAATGAGATATCAAAATTGAATTTAGTAGTATGTGAAAGTTTCCATTCTTATAATCGATTTTTGTTTTACAAACATCTTTTTCTTATCTTTCTATTTTCGTCATACACGTTACATGATATTTTTTTTATTTATCAAAATTATAATGACGATATTAAAATTCAGATTTAAAATCTTACACATCTTACTCTGTCCAAACCGATGCCTGTGATTCATGTTACATGAGACTATCTCTTATTTGATTAAAAAAATTTAATTAAAAAATTTCAATTCCTTTTTTTATATAAAGTAAATAATTTTTTTTCTTTAGAAACTTTACCGATCATTTTTAGTTAAGTCTCTCTTCTGTTAATTACAATACATTATTATGTTTTTATGTTTTTTTTTCAAAGACTTCCTCTCAAAACAGTAATCTTCTTGTTGACCTTATCTTCGAATATCTCATAGACCATCCATCAATGGCAGTGCTAAAAAGATCTTTATATCTCCGTTTGGTTAGTCATCCTAGTCATGTATCATAACTAGTGATTAACATAGACTTTGCCCCCAAAACAAACAACTTTTCTCAATGCAAAATGTTACTTTCTACAATGGTTATAGGTCTTCATTTTAAGCCATAGATTGATTAATATTTAAACAAAATCAACCTGTAAGAGTTGATGATGCACTAATGCACTAATTCATTGGAATGTAAGTGCTGCCACCTACTCCACTTGGATATTTTATTTCCCCTGCGCGAAAGGTCCATGTAATCTTGTGATACATCTCGCTGTGATGCCGTTGCCATCCAAATCCAATCACACCTTTGGTATTACTATTTGGTCATCAACCCTTTGGTAAATGATACAAAGCCATAATAATTCACACATTGAAACACATGGATTAATAATTATGAACAAGGACATGGTGTAATAAAGTGGAAGACTCTGTTCCTCTCAATTGTCCTTTTGTCTTCAATAAACTCCATCTTACTAGAAATTTTCTTTGTGGAAATCATATTTGGTGGTTGTGTTGTGAGAAAAATCCGACGCTAACTGACGAAGCTGTTTGGTTAGAGCTGGTGGCCCACAGTAAAATACCCCTGCATTGCATAAACATGCTTTTGTCATTCGTTTATGTCCTTATCTTTGGCAAGTTAGATGATAATCATTCAAATTTTGGAAGACTTCATTTTATTTTATTTTATTTTGTGCTATTTTCAAATAGAAATGAAATTTCAGTTTATTAGTCTCGATCATTTAGAAAAGATAGCACTATATCATCCTTTACGTGACTGAACAAAAAAAAAGGAGAAGTGAAGCAATTATGTTGGATAAAGAGTGGGAACTCACCAACACGTGCACGTGGATGACTAACCGCAATGCGCTTGTAGACGTTGCGCCAATTGGGTTTAGCAAAGTGCGACTTAACTCGCGTGCCAGAGACTATGTCCACGCCATTCTTAGCATGGTTCAAAGATTGCAGCATAGCAATAAGAGCCGAACGAGCATCACCCTCTTCATACACACTAGTGCAATAGTTATGAAGCTCAATAACCCCCCTATGATCCTCTTCAGCCACTTCATTCATCACCCCTTTGAACCAATCAAAGGAACCCTGTTCCCTCGTGACCCAATAGAAGTAGGCCCTAGTAGTCCTAAAGTTGCTAGGAGCACTCTTTTTGTGTGGTGATTTGCCACCATACCCACTTGCTCCTTGTTCTATGTTGGTCCCCTCTTCATCCTCCATGGCCTTGATGTTGTTCACTATGTCCTTTAGAATGCTGATCATTGGGGTGGCTCCAATTCCTAGCCCCACCAGTAAAACCACTTCATATTGCTTGTAGTCTTGGGCTGGTGCTCCATATGCACCATCAATTAGGACTCTTGGGAGGCCACTACATAATATTATCAAAATTACTTGCGTCACTAAGCAAAGAATCTTGTCTATGAAATTATGCATCATTCGTTTGGGATAAGTCATGAAAAAACCCTTTGCACGATGGAATATGGAGAAAATGACAATTTGCAAGTCTCATTCAGGACATTTTAAATAGTTTGAGTTACGTGTTTAGTTAACACTTTCGTGAGTTCAAAATTAATTAAATAATAGTAGTACAAATTTTCCAAGTCCAAGATCTAAATCCAAATAATAACATTTGCGTACGAATAGGATGCCAAAATATCTAAGCGCGTGGGAAGGTGGCGTCCAGAATGTCGGCAACAATTATTATTGACACCCAAACAAAATAACCACCAAAAAATCAAGTTGATAATAGTTTCTCCAAAAATCTAAAGTTAGCTTTGGAGAATGAATTTCAGATAAGAGTTATGTAGTAGAAAGAGCCTCTTTATATCTAAACTGATATGAATCCAGTAGGGTAAATTTGAAGACTAACAAGTCCAAAGTCATACGATAAAGAAGAAGGATTAATGGACTGGAATTTAAGTAGTTTGAGGCCGAATAATTAAATAAGTCCATTATCTTATTTTTAATGTAATTTTCGTTTTATTTTATTTTATTAAATAAATCTGATGGATTTCCTTGTCTTTTAGGTTGCTAAGGGGAAATAAATGCTAGTGGGAATTTATTGCTTAGTTAGTGGGTTATTGAGGATTTAATTCTAGTAGATATTAAGTGTTAGTGAGAATTTATGTCATCTTACCCATCTAAGCTTATAAATAGGAACCTTTTGTAAAAATTTTAGAGGAAGAAAAAATAAATTATTCAGAATTTGGATATTTTTTCAACCGAGAGGATTTTCTCTCTAGGTTCTTAGGAATTACTTTTGATTCTTATCCTTGAATTTCTTAATTCAAAGTGGCGAATCTTCCTCAACTTATAAATCTTTAGGGATTGTGAAGTTGTTCTCAAATTTATTAAACTAATCCATATTTTTTTCTTTTAATTTCTTAATTATGAGCTTTCCAACCTAGATAGATCTGTATAATGAATTCATCCCTTTAGGTTCACATCATAAACTAAAAGAGATTTTGAGAATTTCTTTATTAAAAATAAAAATATTTTTTAATAAATAAATTCTCAGAAATATTTTTTAACGTACATTCGAACAGGCTAAAATTTGATAATATATATATATAGTCTTAATTCAAATTCTATATTCATAATTTATTCGAATAAAAAAAATGAGAAACTAGCAGGAGAGATGTATGTGCCATCTACAGTTTCACCTTGAATTTAAAAAATAAAGTTTTACCAAATTTTAGTTACTGCAAATATTTGATTTCGACTAAAAGAAATATTTTTATAATAATAAAGAGTCTCTTTATTTTGTTTAAAAAAATTATAAATTAAAAAGTAAGTCTAAAAATGAAAAAAAAAATGTAGTACTTAAAAAAGAAATTTCAAAAAAGTTATTTTGTTAGTTTTCATAAATTAAAAATTCAATATAATATTTTAAAAATAAAGAATATCATAAAAATATTTTTTAAATACAAACAAACTCATCGAAATCATGTGAAATGTTTTTAATATCCAATTCATGACTTATTTAAGGTATATTTCAATAAATTTATTCATAAACACCTCCTGTAGAAGAAAATATAAAAATGAAATAAATTTTTAATAAGTAAAAATTAACTTATACATACAATTGAAAAAAATATTTTGAAAAAGTTAATATTAAATAATTTTACAAATTATCTTATACATAAGTTAATTTTAACTTTTAAATTTTTTTTTACTCTTATTTTCTTCTTTGATGAGAGTTTATATAGAAATTTATCTAGACTAATCCTAAATCAAATACTGGGTTGAGTGTTAATTAGATTTTGACATGCCTATCTATCACTTTTTTTTAGTAAAGTTATTTTCATAATAAAGAGGTTAAAAAAAAAGGATTATACAAGATAAGGAAAATGATGTGATTACCCAAACAAAAAATAAAATAAAATAAAATGATGTGACCAAAAGAGAATTAAAAAGAAAATAATTTCTAATGTTAAATGTAGCTTAATTACCTCGGACTGCTATCTCCTTGCGAGTATTCAGCTCTTAGAAGTCCACTATTTCCGTTGTTAGGTGGCTGGCAACACTGAAAGAAACAACCTACCTAATTAGGAAGAAAAAAGAGACCCTCCATTTGAAAAAACATGAGATAACACGTAGAATTACAACTAATTAAAATTCTCGTGATATTGCACCCACATGAAAAAACATATGTAACAGTGTAAGGACTATGAGTTTTGCCATGTAAATTGTTGTCCATATAACATTATCCAACAAAAATTAACCTGAATTCACCTCTGAGAACTTCACTCTGAGGCTCCGAGTCCAATCACCAAGTGTTCTGATATGAACGCTAAGGTAATCATCACCAGGGGCTGAGGTTATAGAAAATGGATGCCTATCATATCACAAACAACATTTTACTATGAAGGACTTGACAGTGGGGATTAAGAGCAGAAAAAGAGTAGGGGGTCCATGCACCTTGAGAGTATTAAAATGCAAAGTTAGAGATATTGAACTTTCGAATTCATACCATTCAAATGGAGACACAGCAGCACAATTGAGAAACATGTATTGTCCACTCTTGTATCTAAATCCCTGAGGCTTTGACATATGAAGAGCCAACACATTTCCAGGATAAACAGCCACCTTCAAATTGGGCAGTGAAAATGTGCTTAAACATACATTTTGATAATCCTTTTATGTACCGAACTTTATCTAAAAAATATTTAGTGTATATTTTTCATATAATGAGTGATTAATCATTTGATGCTCACCTTTAATATTCTCACAGGCTTGATGCTTGATCTGAGTAATCTAGTCAGTCTTTCTGATACATAAATGATTATGGGGATAGCCAAATACATCCAGGTCTACAAAACAAATACAATAGGTTCCCACAATATCATTAAGAATAAACTCAGTGTAAGATTCTACCACTATCATTCGCTCAAAGACCGTCATATATGGTAAGTTTATTGAATTTTATAACTATCTTAAAAGTCATATCATTAGCTCAAAAAGAACCGGATAAAAAAGGATTGACCGAAGGAAGGTGCTAACCGTTTTCTTGTACCAATCCTTGGTCAAGTAAAGTTTGATTCCATGCACAATGAGCAGGGCGTAGACAAAGACAAAGAGATGATGTGAATACCAAAAGGCATTGAAGCCTGTTAGATTGTTGAAGGGTTTGGGTAGCTTGATTCGGCCTCTCCTGAACCAAGGGGTGGCTAGAGTGAAGGCTATTGCCATTAGAACAACCATTATAATCCCTGTTACTCCTTCCCATGATTTAACAAAATGCCAATAACTTGATGCTTGATCTCCGAAAAAAGGTTGCATGAGCTTGTACTTTTCACTACTTGCATGAAGAAGGCGAGGAAAGTCACAAGCCAGATGATAGATACCATGTATACCAACTCCAATTGTTATTGCCACAGCTATCAACTGCAAAAAAAATACTATATGTGATTACTGCTACAAATTTCTTTACCTTGTTCACTTATGAAAACTACGAAATGCTTTTGAAAATTTCTCAGTTGGAAAAAGTTTTTTATTTTCAATAAAGAAACTCTTCTAAAATTATATTCTAACAGACTCTAAGTCCAACAGCAAACATTTGAACAAAGTAAGTACCTTTTCTCTTCTAATAGCTCTCAAATCAGTAAAAATTACCTTGTGGAAGTTGAGGTTGTCATCAAAAGGAACCATAATGCCAAGCTTGGTCTTATTCCTGAGCCAGGTGATGGTGTTTCGGCAAACCGGTAACAAGATAATAGCCATGTTCAATTTAAGTGTCTCAGCTGCACCTTTGGCCATGCATACACAATGTCCCATCACCTCATATGCAGCTTTTCTCCGATACTGCACAAATTTGTAGGCAAATAGACCTAACATCACACCAATCCACAGCACCAATACCCAAGTTCTCTGCCAATTGTCCTCCAAGAAGTACTTGGTGAGTTTACCCCATCTTCTAATAGGATTTTTTTCATACGTAGGCTTAAGATTTAAGCTTAGCATTTGGCTGAGGTACTTGCTATCTCCTCTTGTAGAATGAGTTGGTCCATGCAGCAACAACATCTCTAGTTCGTTTACCTGTTTTCCCAGTAATAATCACCAAATGGCCAAAGAAATTTGGCTAAGATGAGAATCTACAATAGTAGAAGTATTTTGGTTTGTATGTTTGAGACTATGAAATAGGCTTATGCAATTACCATGATGAATCCTGTGTCATCAGGGTCTAGTTCTTCCATAATCAAAGCAGCATATTCCTCTGCCTGCTTCTGTATGTTTGAGAGTTTGTTCGTAGTGGCACTAAGGCAGATAATCTGAAACCAGAATCGATCACATGATCAAGGAAAATCCTATCCCAGTGGGAACAAAATGCAAACAAGAAAAAGCTTCCCATAAAACTACTATGGTAATTTTATCAGTTAATGAGACTAAAATGTAACCATATTTGATTTCCTGAGTGGTGAATTTATGATGGCATACCTCCTTAATTTCTTCCTCAGTGATTCTTCCATCCGCATCTTTATCAACCCTGCATTCCAAATTAATCTTGGTAACACACTTCAGGACATTCAACACATCTTTTTTTCGTTTACACTTCATAAACATCAGAAAAGACAAAGAACTAGCGCATGTTTGGACTAAAGTTTGCAAACTTGAGTTTGAATGAACTTCAATTTGCAAAAGCAACCCTCTCATTTCTTTTTTTTTCAGAACCGAGTTTTAAGGCAAAGTTAAAGCAAAACTCAGTTTACAATCGGGCCAACTGAAAACCAACCAAGAGGCTTTTTCAGCTTCATTTTCTGATCAAACATTGGGATCTACCAACTGAAAACCAAACATAACCTTACATGTCAAAGAATGTTCTGAGCCTAGAATCAAAACTCTGGTCAGAAATCTGGTCCCAAAAGTCCTTCAACTGGACCTTGTTAATAGAATCCCCCTGAATTTCCCTCTTCCTAGCAAGAGCATCAAAAAGCTCCCCTGCAAAGGCCTCAGACTCCTTGTTCATCCCTACAATCAAATCCAAACACATCACAAAAACCAATCTGCACACCAACAAACATTTGAACCAAAAAGGTAAAAAGCTTCTCCAAATTATTACGTAATCAGAACCATCACCAGATGTTCATGGTCCTCATTAATTTACATGTGACACATAACCGAAATTTCTCAATTCACAGGAAAGAATTTATAAAACTCGACTAGATATCATGTGTATGAGTCTGAGACCTTGTCATGTCATTAGTCTTAGAATTAATAAAACTTATTAGATGTCATGTGTTTGGGTCTAAGACTATGTCATGTCACTAGCCTCAGACCATGTAATGATTTCTTTCCATTCATGAAACTCAAATAAATACCTATGCATTTGGCAAAGAGAGAGCGATGCAGAAAGCCATTAGTGGAAGCAGTGAGAGCATCAAACTTCTTTTCAACCTCACCCCAGCCTGCACCACCATCAGTCATGCTGATAAACTTGAGACCCTTGAGAGCATGACTCGCTGCAGATTTGGTCCTATCATAGTGCACTCTCGCAGGTGCCGGTTGCTTAGAAAGCGAAGCTAAACGCTTGAGCTCCTGAGACACCTGCTGCATGCGAATGGAGGCACTTCTCACAACGGAGGCACCAAAGGACCTCTTCTTCTCCATGCCTTTGCCGAGCAAAACCAGTTTCTCATCTTCCCCTTCATGGTTGTTGCTCCCTTCCACGGCTGTCACACTGTGGAGAGCCACAGAGTCACCTTGGATGTCCATAGTAACCTCAACGTAGTCTCCATCCTCTTGTTCCTGAGACTTGTTGATGTCTGAGCCCGAGGTGGAGGCAAAAGAAGAAGTGTTCAACTTGGTGCTTCTTCTGCCAACCCTTTTGCTCAGTGGTCCACTGTGAGTGGTTACTCTTTCGAGTTCTATGTCTGCAGAAGATCCTCCAACCTCGTCTGTTCCCATTTTGTGATGAGGTTTGTAGATGCAGATTCTGATGCTGGTTACTCACTGGCTGAGATACTTAAGATCCTTCTTCACTCTCTCTCTCTCTTCACACCCATGGAGAACATGATAAGGTTTTTCTTTTCTATGTTGCATTTTTTCATAAATAAATATGCACTAGGCTAGACTGTTGTGCTTTAATATTAATGTTGTCCTTTTCTTTATAAAATAATATTAAAACAAAGACTTTGTAGTCATAAAAAAGTACACTGTTTTTTACTCAGAAATATCGAAAACTACAATAAAGAGAATGTATTGTTATATTTTTAGTAAAATAATTATTTTTAATTTCTTAATTAGTTTCATGTATGGATAGAGCTATTAAAATTGGTTCGGTCTTATGAGTCAATTGTCTCGTTTAAAATTAGGTTTGAGAGGTATCAACTTATTTGGTCCCATACTTTTTCTTTTTAAATTACATAAAAATTAATAAATAAATAAATAAGTGATCCAATCTAACAAATTAAGACAGACAAAAACAAATTAAAATTTGATAAGTCAAACTAATTTACTTTTCATACTATTTTCAGTGGATCCACCGATCTATTTAATATTATATAAAACTCCTCACAGTTGGAATGTTTCAAAAATAAAATAAAAAAAACTATAAAATTCGAATCAACCGATCTGTTTTATAAAATTTCTTCTGTTAATTGAACTGAAATAATAATTAATAATTATTTCATATCTATGTGGGGACAAATTAGTATGCGATGGACATAATGTGAAAGCAACGGTGTAGTATTTCTAGAGAGAAATGGTAGATGCATTACTTGTTGATTTCATTTGATAACACATGTGATCTCTCTTCTTGAATTCAAGACACAAGAGTGTGAAGTGAAAAGTGACATGAGATTTTGGTCAATTGCGTTGCTGGTTAGAAATGAGTTAAGATCGAAGACTATGAAAGATATTTCAGAAATTTCCAAAAGTACCAACAATGATATATGTCGCTGGCTACTAAGGATTAAACGCGTGGGTGATTTTATTTTATTTTGGTGAATTTAATATAAGCTATTTAGTAGCTTGGTGATGCTTAAAAAATGGTGAATTCCATCACCAAAACTACTGCTTTCGTCTTTACCAGTGACGCTTTCATTTTCTTTGGTGAAACTAACTTGCAACTTGGTGAACTTTCTCAATTAAGAACCTTACAACTTGATATTCTTAAATTTGTTCAAGAATAAAGGGTAGGTAGGTACTCGTACGTTTTATTTGCTTACTAATGTTAATCGTTTAATATATTCTTCTTTCTCTTCTATTATTTAATCTCGCCCTTACCAAAACGTGATGTATTCATAAAAAATATTACAGTTAACATTGAAATATCATTAGACCTGATAGATTCGTTAACTGAGTTGTTGTGAACTTGTGGTACATATGTATATTCTTTGGTATACATTCTTATTTAATTTTATCGTTAATTAATGCATATAAAAGAACATTTACTATTTAGTATTTTTGGATTGAGATCGGTATTTCAACTAGAAAGTATTCTGCCTCTCACATATGTTTTTAGACTATAGTAAAAATTAAAAATATAAATAAAAAAATAAATATTTGAAATTATATGAAAAATATACGTAATTAAATTAATAAACAATAGAAGTAGCTTAGAATATCTCCAACGGGAGGTTTTTAGCTGATTCTTAAGTTTAAGCTCCTATTGCTTATAAGAAAATTACATTGGAACATGTTGACATAGTAGTGTAAGTGCTTAAAATTTAAGCATCGTTCATTATATAAAACATTGTTGCTTAAGAATAAAAAAAATAATTTAATATCTACTTCCTTCCAAATTCAGTCTCCACACAAGTCATATACACACTTACTTTTGAAGAAAAAAGTATATGTTAGAGGGTCTGTGATATTTAGTTAGTGCATATTTATTATAAATTTTTTTTATTATCACGTTTCTATTTATTAGGTAATTTTTTGTTTTATATTTAATATTTCTTAACGCATTATAATGATTATTTTTTAAAAAAAATTATTCATATTTATATGTTATCAATGATAATTAAATTTTTTTAAATTTATCAAAAAATGAAGTATGAGTTGTCAAAAAGTGGAGGTGCTTATAAACAATTCTTATTGGAGAAAAAATTGTAAAAATATAATATGAATTGCTTATGAGTGATGTAACATAGTGGGACTCATTTAAAGTAGATGAGAGTTGCTTATATTTAGAAGGAAAATATTAAATTTAATAAATGGAAAAAAAAAAGTAAGCGCATAACTACATAAGTTGTTAAAAGTAATTAAAACCAAGATCGAAGGAAAAAGAAATCTTAAGATAAAAGAAAATTTTGAAGAAAAAAATAGTTTAAAATTTTAATATATATGACATTTCAAACGACAAACTTTTAAAAAATGAAAATAAGAACTTTCAATGATAAGCACTTTTACTATAATTTAATAAAAACAATTCTTATAATGTAGGGATTTTCTATGTCGATTATTTTTTATATTTTATGTTGGCTTAGTACATGACATAAATTCTAACAGCATAAAAAATATCCAAACATTTTTATAACGAGCGTTGATCATGTGAAATAGAATGTTACATTTTTTGTGTTGTGTGGTCAACTTCCGTTATAATATGAATACTAAATATGATGATTTAATCACATTGACACTCACATTTTATGATAGATGTCATCACATGTGACATAGAAAGTGTATATTTTATGTGTCGCGTGTAATCGTATCTGTCATAAAATATACCACATTTTATGACAAGTATAGTCATATCTGTCATAAAATATATACTTTGTTTTAATGTCATGTCTGTTTTCTGAATTTTTTCAAACCTATACAAAAGACATACATTCTAAATAGTTCAAAATAACATATTGATGCTCAATTTAATACAAACTTATACAAAATATAATATCTATCATTTAAATTGAAATAATATATAAATTAAACTACATAGTAATGAAAGAGAAATGACAATAAAGCTAAAATTAACAATAATCGTCATTAATTAATAATAATATACACAAATAAAACTAAAACAATATACACAAATATGTACTGAGATGATAAAACCAAAACAATATACAAAAGCATAAATTAATCCTCAAATTGACTTAAGAATGGCAGATCGATAGTAAATCAAGCAAATTGTTGTTAAAGTCAATTGATGGATAGAAGAAAACTCAGAAGATGTTACACATGTAATAGCAATTGTTTTCCCCTATCGAAAATCAACTTAAGCATCATAGAATACAAATAAATAAGTTAGCAAAATACAAATAATTAAGGACATCATTTAGAATGCACCTTAGGCAAATGATTAAACACAAATAAATAAGTTCATTGATTACTTTTGGCACATGGACTTTAATTAGCCTGCTCGGCCAAAGAATAAAGTTATCCAAAGTTTGTCCCACTATCTAAACCTCTATAGTGGGCACAAGGACTCAAAGGTTTTGCTCTCTAACATCGACAACCTCCACCCGTACCATATCATCTAGAATCATCTAGCGGTAGATGATTAACCTCAACATGTTACCTTACTTATGGTCACCAATTACTCTAGGGTGTCGTCAATTTATAATTGCACCTTCGATAGTGTCTCATCAATTGCATCCTCCTTTAATGTGTCAAGAGAAGCACAATTCTTCTAATAAATAAGCCAACATCTATCATAAAATATTTTAATATATTTACAAGTATATCACCGTAACATTTTAATAACATCCAACATAAAAAAAAAAAAAGCATAAGAAAGTCATCTTTTTTTCTAATGATTCCACTTCATGTTTAGGACTTTATTAATTAGTTGAACCTAGAGAAAAACAATAAGAGAAAAGTACTTCATGTGCTCTATAGTTGATATTCAAGCGTGAATACGAGATAATGGTGGGGTTTATCTAGCTACTACACTTCCAACCACCCAATCACGCATATTAAAATATGGAAAACAATGGAATCTAAATAATGTTTTCGTTATTCCTCAAAACTGACCTTAAATTATTCTCCATTGAAATTACAGAAATGAAGATGTACCCGTCTATTTTAAATTAAGTAAAGAGAATAAAATAAGCTCATATTTCAATATTTCATCTTATTCCATTTCTTGCTCGTAAGAAAAAAAAAAAATATATATATATATATAACAAAAGAAAAAGGTTTAGTTCAAAATCATGATTTTGAGACTTTTCTTTAACGGAAATAAAAATTACACCAAGTTGTATTTTCATTTTTTTTTTTGGGATTAAAACATTTCTAAACCAGCAAATCTTCGTCGGTGCAGACTGCTGAATGCCAAAAAATTTCACAGCCACGAACTTTGTTATAATATCACCAAGTGAAGATATTTACCATAATACCATGTAAATATCACGAGCAAATTAAAATGTGTACTAGATATCAGATATGGATTCTTTCCTAGATTGGCCCACACCAATTCATCGCATTTCATGCCATGATATTCGAGACACAGATTGAATATTAAATAACATCGAAGCATTGGAAGTTCTCCATTTTTTATTTTTTTTTGTACTCATAAAATGAACTTTTCAAATGTCAAATGTCATGATAGTACGAAATAAATAGCCAAAATATGAGACTCGTACAAAAGAAGTGTCCATGGAGACTAGGACATACCCAAAATTTTGGTTTCTTGTCCTTCTTATTGGCTGGAGTCTATGCTCATTAAAACTGTGTTGAGAAATTTGAATGTGAAACTTTGAAAGAAATGGACAAATTTTGTATATATGCATATAAATTTCCTCTAAAACGTTGGAAAAAAATAGAAAAAACATAAGAGAAAAATGGTCAAAGATATGTTAAATGATACAGTACTATAAATATTTTAATGATAAAGAAATACACTAGTGAAAAATCAGTCTTTTACGTTAGTATTTTTTCTTCGGTCATAAAAATATTCAACATAAAAAATACGCAATGACATTTTTGAAATTAATCCAAACTTTTTTACGTTGGACCAAAGGAGGTCTGACGTAAAAATTAAAATCTACGTCGAATATAGAGTACAGTCCGACGTAGATTCCAATTTTTACGTCGAACCTCCTTTTGGCTCAAGACTTGTTTTATACTTTTATTCCCTCTCAGCACCATTGTCTTCTTCGTGT